GCTGTAAACAGGAACTCGAGATAGACCGCCCTAACCCTCAAGAACACTATACATATATTTTGGAATATTATAAGGGTTTTTTTGTAGCCGGCATTTTGCCCGGCGTTGACCATGCATATATTATATCACATTAATAATAATAAATATGTCAGTTAAACGGTCATGACGCTCTGCGAGTACAAGGTATTGGCATCGGTCCATAACAACAATATATTACACTTTTCGCGTTCCAGTTTTTTTGTATTTTTTTTTTTTTTTTTTTTGTACGATTTGTCGCATTTCGTGTTTTCTCGGTTGTGTTTTAGGTTTTTTTTTTTTTTTATATCACTTTAACGATAAATCGTATTCGAGAGGCGTAACACGCCGAGACGTTCATAAAGCCGTCGAGAAGATCAACGGATACGGTGTGAAATCCTTTAGGACCGACCGGTGTGGATTTATGCGAATCACACGCCAATGGATTCACCGTCTGAGTCATTCCGACAAGCACAAAATAACTTATTTTTTTCCTTTTTGTTGTATACAACACTGGTTTAACAAGACAAACGGATCAAAACGACCAGAGCAAAATAAGGATGGCAAAAATGAACGACCAGCTTACTGAAAAAAAAAATATCTCTAATTCTAAAATTAAATCAAAATGTTGTACAACAATTGACTCAAACCCTATAGTAACGCGTTATTCGCCAGACTTTGAAACTGCCAATTTATAACATTAAATAGTAACACTCGGTAAACTACTTTAGTGATAGTAATGGACGCAAATAAATAACTAATACTCGAATAAACAAATAAATTAACTATCACTAAGTAACCCTATAAATTCCTTGGTATCCGCTTGGGCGTATTTAATTGCACGGTTATACTGATTTTAACTTTGTCAAAGTTTATCGGTTCAGTTTATAGTTGGTGTTCTTGTAAAACCAACAGTTAGAGAACTTAAATAATTATTACAGAAAATTGGTCGACTATATTATTATAGTCATCGTTTTCTGTGTACATCCACCGCAGATGTGCAAACAAACCACTAAGCTATACAGTTTCAAACGTTACTTTTTCGCAAAGCTATCGCTTAAAATTAATTGTTGAACTTTACAATAATTAAAAATGTTTGTAGATAGAATATTATAATAACGGTTTTTATTAGAAAATAATTGAAATAAAAAAAGAGGATCAGTAAAGTATAAAAATTAAAATGCACGTTTCTTATGAATTTTTATGTATTCATGTTTTGAATGAAGTCATTTCCTTTTTTTTTTGTCTTTATAACTCTTAGGAAAATATCTACCTTTTGTTGACATAATTATTAAAACAATCGGTTGGAAATGCTGTGAATCTTTGAAGTTGGATTTCAAATCATTGTGAGACCACCGATACGTAAATGGGGGCAATAGAGTTTGATTTTAAGTAACCATTTGGGGGGATGGGCAAGGAGAAAAAGGAAATCGAATTTTGGAAATATTTAGATAAAAAAAAAAATAAGGGCGAAAGGAAAAACGACAACATGCCAAAGACAACGCGTAGCTTAGAAGTCGGCGGGGACAGAATAATAGGTAAAATAGCAGTTCTCGCCGGAAAGTCAATACGAGGGTATACATCAACGGTGAACGATAATCAATATGAATGGGATAAAAAAAGGAATAAATAAAGGACACCAACCATATTATACGGCAAGATAGGGAGAGAACGGTTAGGCGGAGACGGCGTTCTTTACTCGATCAATTTCGACGACAAAAGAATACAACGATAATATCCGACGGCTTAGGCGTACTTAAGTCCTTCGGTGCGGAAAACACAACCCGATGCGTTTACACGGTACACGTATATATATATATATAATATTATTTCGGATAAAAAACGTTTGTTGCCTAACCGGATGCAACATATTTTGATGTTCACAGTTTTGGTCCAATCAAATCCATACCATCTGACAACGGGTCAGGCCTCCCAATACAATAACTCCCCAACTAATACCTAGGTAAGACCGCATCGTCCTTTGAGCTCTGTTGATTCATTCATACAATTGGCAACAATTATTATAGTAATTGGCACTGAAATTGTGCCAATGCGACCGATATCACAATCATGTTTGTAAGTCTTATCGCTGAAACACCTTTCTCGGTTCCATAATCGCACGAGTTTCCCGGTAAATTGGCCGCGATGATCTAATAGCTGTTTTACCTGCAAAACAATTGACGTTACAAGAGCTCTATGAGTCGGTGGCGATAAAAGCACGCGGCACGTTTTCCTGGACCGATAAAACCTCGGGTCACAGCGTTTATGGTTGGCACAGGTTGAATGAATATCAGTAATAGCAATAATAATATGTGTGTTACAATAAAGCATGTTCGGCACGTCTGAAAAGCCGGTTCGTCGAAACCGACGACATTATAATCCTTAACCGCAAAGGCCGTCAAACGGCATCGTTTAAATTTCCCCGTGGCGTTGTTATCATCTCATAAATCGACCTTTTCCCGCATTGCAGCCATTGAACTGCCGTCGGCTGCCATTTTGTGAACAGTTATTGTTTTTTTTCTATGATTTATCAAATATATGACCACAGACTATATTATATTATGAAAGTAGTCTGTGATACCAAGGTGTTTACCATCATCTAGCAATTGAATTAAAGATAAAACGTCCTTGGAGGTGTGCTTAAGTGTGTTATGTTTGGATTGACAAAGCATCTGGAGGAGAATGATTATTCGGAATTCGGTAGGTACTTATACCCATCGTTTGGTAATTACAGCATTGGCATGGGAAATTAGAGACCAGAATTTGAAACTGCGGTGATCAATGAATGGCGGGTGTAGCGCTAGTAGAGACAAGGAGAATTTGATCAGTGTGATGACAGACCATGCTGGTTTTAGGGGTAGTTATAGTAGAGACGATGTGATGATGTGCTTCAAGCGGAAATACCAACGGCCGTGTTGAGTTGAAACTATTATGTACAGAGAGAGAGAGAGAGATAACTTTGCGAACGGTTCAAATGGGATATTATATATATATATATATATACGTTGTCTGTATGTGATATGGTTTATTACATTTTGTAGACAACCGTTGATGTTTATTTGTATCGAAAACGGATAAAACAATGTTCGGGCAGATTTTTTCCGGGACAATGCATAAACGAATTTCGGTTTATCGTTTTCTATCCGTTTGCCGTTGAACACACACAAGCTGCGAGCCCAGCAATGCAGAAACATTTTTGCTCGATTGATTCCACCATTGGTGCGCTTGTTTGTGCTTTACTATTCTTACAGTAACCTTAGGAGAGGGCTTACGAACATTAGGCACAGCGCTTTTCAACCGACGACGACGGTGGTAGAACTACACTGTTCACAGTGAATCCCTCTGGGTCGTGTAATGTTATATTATTATGTTCCCTACTTTGTTTGTCTCTCTCGGTCATATTCAATTCGAAGGAATCCCCGAGTTCAATAAAATTGTATTGGGCGCTTAAACTGAATATATTATGTAGAAAACAATTTGGTTTTTTTTGGGTAGCTACAAAAGATCAAAAGAAACGAAAACTAATAATGGCGTAAGTTCGCTTTAACCGGCAAAACGTGTTCCGATGCAATCTCTTTTTGACGTACCTAAGTATATATTTGTTTAAACATAATTTGTTTTTTTTACCCGCGAAATTAAATTTTCAACACTTCCGATTGGATTTTCATTTGAAAGCCGCTCAAAGGCAAATTTCGAAGAAAAATGTGTTTAATAAGACATAAAAAAAAACCTTTGGCACCGACTGCCAAAAAAAAAAAAGAAGCAAAAGTCAATAGCTAAATAGCAACTCAAAAGGTGCGATGAATCACGTTTATTTCAACACTAACCTATAGTTAATAGTGTGGGCCACTAGGAAAAGGTTAGCTGATTACTCAAGGCTAGTGTGTTCGTCAAAATATCGTTAGCTGCTTGGCGAAAGCCGATAAGATTTATTCGTGTCTTATTCTGGTTATTCTGGCGCTTTGATTATGTTAGAAATGGATTGAGCCATAGGCACATCCCCTCGCTTGCTAATCGTAGACTATAAACTTTCACCGTAAACTATTAAATTGACCGAATCTGTCGTTAAAGTACACTAGGGCAACAGATTTTACAACCCCTCGGCGATTATTTGATGTCACCACTTTGTCAACGTTGGCATAAACAAAATACTTAAGAGTTAATCGGTCACGGTGAAGTTACAAACAAACATTGATAGTGGACCAGCTGAAAAAACGATTAATTTGTTCTAGTTTTAACTTAGACCTCCTGTAAGTTTTAAGGTAAATATTAATATTGTCAAGTTATTTTTTACGGTCAGAGTAATAACTCATTAAGCCCTTCCGCGTGTACGCCAAAGCAAGTTGAAAGTTTTTCGTTATCAAAGCGCAATTTTCGGATGAAAGTTCCAAAAAATTAGTATACAAAAATATTGTTGTTCTGAAATTTATTTGGCATGGCTTCAACGGCAAAGGTAATTAGCCTAATTACACGAGCTACTTTTAGTTTTTACATTAAATATACTATATTATATTGGTTGAATTCGGTTTTACAAATGATAATCGCACTTAATTGCACGGCTATTTGAAACGCGTTTTGTTAAGTAAGTCGGTCGTGGTTTCTTCGAGCCGCTTTGGTACATTTGGCATTCGTGTGTTTTATGCACTGGACGGTTTAGCGGTGGCTAAATAAGAAAATAATAACACACATAAAGACGTCTCTGTTGGGAATAGTGCGCGCAGACCTAAATCGAGATGGAAATAGATCCGCGGTCCGGCCCGAAGGACCAAAACGCACGGCCGGACTGTTTTTTATTATGATGTCCGTGTATTCCATATACTCTGGCAGCTCGTGTAACAAATCACGCTGACCCCCCTCTTGCTCCTCCCCCGAAAAATAATGCCAGGGTTTGTAAAGTATAAAACGCTGACCTCGGGGATACCTCTCCGTCAAACCACCGGCACGAGATGCACTTTGAGTACCTCTAATAGTGTTCTTTTTTTCAGTATTTACGGACCACTGCTAGGAGCCGGCAACGCTACCAAACCGACCGGAAGACAGTGCGGAAAAGCGACATCTCTGGTAAGTACTCCACGCCCGGACTAATAATACCAATATTAATGATAATGACCAGTGAATTGAACGCGGACGTTAAACGTTGAAAAAAATATGTCTCGGTTTTGTTTTTTTGAAGACCAACCCTTTTTTAAAAACAAACCGGCCGCTTTTAGCTTTGCTGTTGTTGTGCCGTCAAAAAGGCGTATTATTACTGTAATGTTTCTCTCTCTCTCTCTCTCTCCGGAACAGACGCGACGAAGTCGGATTTAACGTTATTACTGTACTTTGTCATTTTATCAAATATATATAATATTATGTACTACACGCGATGCGTAATACAGAGCAGGCTTTTTTTTTCATATATATATATATATATATATATATATTATATTATGTACCCCGAAGCCACGGTTGTCCGAATTTATATCGATTTTTAAGGGTCGGACAATAGCGGCCGCCGACAACGGTAATGCCCCCCCCTCCCTTACCCTCCCCTCGAGTGCTATTGTTTTTTTTTTCCCTGTACTTTTTCCGTGCTTTCACTATTATTAACGCTCCATTCCGGCCAGGAAAGTGGTTTCACATAATATCACATGCCCACAAAATACCTATGTTGTACGATGTTACACTCTCCATATGCGCAGTACAGTTAGGGTATGTTCCATTTTTTTATATATTTTTTTTAACATTGCCTTTTGTATGTCGCTCGCAAACAAAATATATTATACAGTCGTTAGCAGTCAATATAGCGGAAGGCAGTAGTTCAGGCAGGTAATCCACCGAGCTCCCGGGTATATAGCATTAAGAGAGAATGCCACGTGTGAACTGTTGAACGCATAGCATCGCATAATGTTGCACTTTACACAGAACTTTAAGGGTTGTTGACCACCATTGCAGACATTCAATTCGGACACACCCTGTAAACTAACCTTTCACCTTGTATAAAATAATCACTTAGGTGTCTTGTTTTTTACCGTCAGCGTCGACAAGCGTTATCAATATAATATGACATCCGATCAATACACAATTTAGACAATATTGCCGTGTTCAATGGACAATCATTAATATGTTTTGGGGGGAGTTGCATAAAACATAATATACCCTTGAAGTATACACGATTGTATTTTAATTTTGTATTTTGATTGGCATTTTAAATCAATATTTCATGTATAAAAATAGAACAAAAATTACTACATTTCTTGTTAGCTACATCCACACCATTGTCATTGTCCAAAACATTATTTTTCACTCTGTGAGTTAACACAGTAATTTTAATCGTACATTTTCTCTGGAAGTTCTAAAATATCTAACGCATCAACTTTAAGGTCTATTCTTTTCTAAAACTTTAATAAAAATAAGATTTGACCCGTCACTTTTTGGTGGCCGCTAAAAGAAATTATTATTAAAAAAAAACAGGGAAAGAAAAATGTTTATTAGAAATACTTCAAAAAAAGTAAAACTTAAGTACAATTTGTTTTCATAAATAAAAACGGCTAACTTTTTCGAAGAATAACAGCTTAAAGTATAAAATAACTTATTATTACATTTATCAAGCCGGAGAAAGTTTGTACTCAAGCGAGAACATTTTTAACAAGTTATTTGTGGGACTTGTTTGAAGTTTGTATAAGTCGTATTAGTGTTGGTGGAAAAATAAAAATAAAAAAAACGTTGTAATGGAATTTACGTTTTAACTTAAAAAGTATTGGAATTCTTCGTTTTTATTTTCATTAAACAGCCATTTGTTATTTTTCCTATTGAATACATATATTAAAAACAAAAATTGAATACATATATACACATACTTTGTTTGTTCAAAGCTTGTATGAGTGATTTTTAGGTTTTAAACTTTAATGAAAAATAACATGTCAGAACAAGAGTAATGTATTTTTTTTTGTTATTTAAAAAAACGATTTGAGTTAAATATATAAAATACTTTTACACAGTATTTTACTTTTTCAGCTAACCTAACGTAACCTCATGACTTTTTTTTTGAAAACCCCAAATTTATTAAAAATTAAAGATTTCAAGACTCTCTATAAGTAAGTCCTGTCCGGAGTATCCAAGCTGTGCTTTAAGATCGGGTTACCACATTTGCTTCGCCTTAAACTTCATAGAAGATCGGAGTAGATAGTTTGTTTGTATTATTATTTGATTAGCTCGCGTTCGGTCATAACCGATTGCCAGAACCGGCGGCGCTCCGGTTGAACGGATTATAAACTTTCTATCCAATTTCAAACGCTATCTCAACTTTAATTGCATTGGCCAAGGTGATGGGTACTGTAGTACACTACTGTAGTGGAAAACTGTGCAATTTCGGCCAATGTAACAAATTGCATATTATGCCATTAATCGATTATGTCTTATGTTCAACTGAAGGTGTGTTTAGTGTTTTAATCACGGTCGGATTTAATATTCATACAGTAAACTGAACTACAGTAATTCGCCCATTAGGCGACCTGACCGTCATATCCGCTTCACAACAATATACATAATATGTATAATACACAAACATTAAGTCGACTAAATTATATTAAACGGCTAATGCGATTTAGACAAAATAATCGTTTCGGCAATTACAGAAACAAAATTATATTCGCCAATGCGGAAGAGAACCCTTTTGCTTTTTTTTTGTGCTCATGTTAATGAGTTTTGTAAAAAAAAAACCCCTGAATCGCATTTTTCCAGGAGAACGATTTTAAACGTTAGATGAAAGAGAAAGGCAATTTTTGTTATATACCTAAATTCAACTTCTGCACCAATGCACTTGTCCGTTGACAATATTACTTTTATCGTTGAACAAGATATTGGGTTTTTCCAACGGTGGATTTTACAGTAATTAAAAAAATGATGACAAATGATATTGATAATTTAATTATATAATACGAGCCGTTACTTAGTGTTTTTTTTTTAATATTCCCATTAATATATTATGTAGTTATATTTCATGGATAATTATCGCGTTAGAACTAGCAGCTAATTTCTGATTTTTTTCTAATTTATGGTTAGTTAGGTTGCCAATTGGCGATATTTATTCGACTTTTTCAATAACAATAGCTTCAAGTTAATATTATAACCAAAAAAAATAAACATGTTTACAAACAAAGCGAATAACAACTTAAAACATCAGATTTAAAACCAGAGAGATTGCTTAACATTAAACGTTATAAACGATCAGTCAGGACCTTTTTTTTTTGTGGTCAATGCATTCAAAAATTGTTTTAAAAAAAAGTAGGAAAATAAATTATTCGACCAAAATATAGTTGTTGTACAAAACAAATGTCACGGTTTGTTTATTTCGAATGTATATTTCTAAATCTAATGATGCGTTTCCTTTTTGAAAATAATAAATCTTATAAAAAGTATACATACGAATAAACGGTATCTACGCAAGCCGATAAAAGAGGGCAATCTTCTCAGACCGTTTTTGGGGGAAATTATTTTTGATTTTTTTTTTGGTTTTTATATCTTGTCTTTCCTAACCATAATAATATCGAAACCATAAAAAACGCCGTTTATTTTCGTTTGGGATTTATTTATTGGATTTTTTTTCTTCAAACCGGAAACCTTAGAGAACTACCGGCTTCCCGTCCGTCGACGGGTATTTTTTTTTTCACGAGCGCGCCGATTTTAAGTACGGGAAATGGTAATAAATCATATTTCGGTTCGATATATATATGTATAAATATTTTGGTTTGGTAAATAAAAAAAATAAAAAATATATATATAATAATAATAGTATAAAATATTCTTCTGTTTACCTTGTCAGCTCAACGGCAGAGCTACACGCCAGCTACTCAGATAGGATTACTATCACTTCTAATATCAAAATATAATATTATTTATATGATTTAAGTGCCTTATCGTGTCGGTTGAAACAACAAATTTTCAACGATAATTTATTAATTTCTATTGTTTCTGTTGTTGATTATTGAAATTCACTAGTTTGTTTGAGCTGTTAGCATCTTAAACTTACTTAATAATGTACATTTTTGGATTTGAAGAATTCATGCACAAATATTAAGTATAGCTTGTTATTCAATGGCCGTAAACTCAAAATCCATAACAATTCAACTAACATAACGTAATACATAAGCAAAATAAATTGACCTTAAACTCTCTGTCTAATTAATGTTTTCCGTTAAGGTTAAATAGGTGAAATAACAACTTTACTGATTTTCGTAGATCAGTTACTTTATGTTGTAGTTTTGTCACCTTGCATTTTTTTAAAAAATTCTACACTTATTCTCAAAAAAAAAAATTATAACTAACAATTTTATTACCAATTAGCTTTATTGGTTTGATGAAAAAGTAACTCACAATATTATAAATGAGGAAAAAAGTAAAGGGAAATATTTGTAATTTATTTTTGCTTCGGAATGTGAAAACTTTTGTTTCACTTTTACTTGGGTTCAAAATGAATTTTCATTAGTTGGTTGGTTAAGTAGTAGTGCTGGGATATAGTAGCAGTAAAAATACAGAAAAAGAGTCGATCCGAGTGTTGATAATATTATTTATAAGAAGCTTACTCAGTCGGTCATTGTAATAATGTTTCTTAAAGTTATTTTAATATTATTTTAAAATCGAGCGATGTAGACGATTACAAATAGAAAGTTATTGTCCTTACAAAATTAATTTAGAGTTGAAAACTTCATTTTAATTACAGATCGAGTCGGATAATAATTGAAAAGCGGAAAGTCCAAAATATTATATTATGTAAAAGTTTATAAACTTTCTGCAGAGAGTAATCTTTGTTATATTTATTTGTATAGCCAACAAAAGGCTTATCTGAATAAATTGACAAACTGATAACTTAAAGGGTAGTGTACAATAAATATTATCTTTCAAATTGCAAACAATCGCAAACTCAATCTATCATAATTCCTTTTGAAGTCCGTTTACTCTATAAGGTATTAACGACGCCAAGTTTATTGTTAATAGAAAAAATAATTAGAGCGTCCGTCTAAATACTAAACTAAAAAATAAAACTATGATTTGGTTAATTGAACTGTCCAATAGACAGCTTT